TTATTGTTGTTTCTTCCAGGTGTCTGTGAAGCCCTGCGAATGTCTGAACGGCGCTTCGTGCATCACCAACGTCAACCTCCCTGCTGGTAGCGGAGAATACGTGTGCGTGTGTCTCGACGGATTTAGAGGAAGGAGGTGTGAGGTGGACGTCGACGACTGTAAACCCAACCCCTGCAGACTGGGCCGCTGTATCGACGCACCCAACTCCTTCTCCTGTATCTGCCCACCTGGAATGACAGGTGGGCATCCAGTGTGTTTGGGCAACTTGTTGTCATTTATAGGAATCTGTAGCTCTGGTACTGGCTGGGCCACACCACGGTGATATAACCTATTGTCTCCTTCCTGATAAATACTGAGTTATAATGTCGTTGTCAGGCCGCACATGCAGAGAAGACATAGATGAGTGCATCTCTCAGCCTTGTTTCCCTGGAGCGGGCTGTAACAACACACTGGGCTCCTTTGTCTGTGGATTGTGCCCAAAGGGATATGTTGGTGACGGGAAAAACTGCAAACGTAAGACCAATACCTCCATATTATATTTTAAGTTTTATTCGTTAAAGAATGCTACTTTAGCTTCAGAGACAGCAGGTGCACCTCAAAGGGTCATTTTTCAACAAATTCTCTCATTTCTACCATTGGATCTCTGGTTTTATCTGAGGGAAGTATGCATTTATACATAAGTCTCATCATACATTTAACGGTCATTCACATCTTTTTGTTGCCAAGGTAACGCTGACGTGACAACACCAGTGAGAGTACCACAGGTTCCATTAAGGCCCAAACCAACAGGCCCGTCGCCGTGCAGCAGCAGCAGCGGCGGCGGCGGCGGCGGGCCGTGTTTTCCGGGGGTCCAGTGTTTTGAGAGCATCCACGTCGCGGCGGGCTTTGTTTGTGGACCCTGCCCTCCTGGTCTCCACGGAAACGGACAAATATGCACAGCAGCAGGTGAGAGTGATGCAATTCTTTTGAAGCTTGGAAACTGGTGAAATTACACTTCAGGCTTTGGGCGTTTCAATATAAAAAAAGAAACTAAAAGAAGAAAAGAAAAAAAAAGGAAAAACTGAATCTGTACAGGATGTAAAAGAAAGAAAAGGCTAAACTAAACAAAGCACTGATGGTTTTGCATTTGTTGATTCATGGGTTGGATGTTTTGTTGTTGACAATCGAGGCTACGTTTGTGTTCTTTTTTAAGCCATATCCTCTAACTCCCAGTGTCTTCCAGGTCAAGGGACAGTCGCCAGTGGAGCAGACGGTCATGTTCACGTCAACACATCAAATTCCAGCAAAGAAAAGACTCCCCCCTTCTCCTCTTCATCGTCGGCCACCTCGCCCAGGCGACCCTCCGACAGAAGGACGAGACCAGAAACAACCAGCTCCAGCATCCGGAGAGTTCCGTCCTCTGACAGAAAGACCACGGCAACCCCCCAGAATCAAACCGCATCCAGAGTGTTTGCCGCCACTGTCCACAGAGGTCAGCCCAGCGGGGTGGATCTGACCCCAGACCTCTCCACGGGGGTCAGGTGGGGGTTGCCAGCTCACCGTGTGACCTGCGCCGACTCGCCCTGCTTCCCCGGTGTTCCCTGTGAGCCCACCGTCCTCGGGTCCTTCAGGTGTGGACGCTGCCCGTACGGCTACACCGGAGATGGAGTCACGTGTAAAGGTAGTTCGTCTTATAGCGCTGACTCACAAAGTCAGAGAGCTGCAACTACAGCTTAGCTAAACCGTGTGGCAGATAAATAAAACCTCAGTTTTCTGCTCTTTATTCGTCAAGACAAAAACAAACAAAGTGTTTCCCTACTGCACTGACCTGAGGACTGTATAAAAGGCTCAATGAAAAACCCAGAATAAAACGTGATCTTGGTTCATTGCTGATTTGTACAAATGAGCTTAAGTTTGCCAAATTTATCTTCAATTAAAAACAGTTGCATTAAAAACATCCAGCTGGCTGTAAATAGTCAGATGGTGGTCACAACATTGTGTATAATTACTTATTTTTACAAAAACTACGAATTTGTGTGGCTTCATAATGTTTATATAGAAATATACGATATAAAAAAAAAATCAGGTTCTCGTCTTTAGTCAGTTTTGACCGAAATTTGTCGCTTTTTTAAGGAAAGAACGACTTCTTGCGAGACTGAAAATGTTAAAGATTGATAACGGGGGCGCCGCTACAGCTCACCTGGTTGAGCTGGGGTCCCATGTACCGGGGCTATAACCCCCAACACAGAGGTCATGAGTTCAACTCCGGCTCATGGCCCTTTTCCGCAGGTCCTTCCCCCATTCTTCTCCCCCACTTTCCTGCCTCTCTCTCGACTGCACTCTCAAATAAGGCCAAAAAAGAAGATTGATAACGAAATTGGATGTATTGACGCTTTAAAAAGCATAAAGCCAGGTACCCCACAGAACATAAACTCCTCACATTACTCCCTGTGTGTCCTCAGGCCAGTTATCAAATTAGCTGCAGTCAGTCAACAAATTGATTAATTGACTAATTTTTCCAGCTCAGCTGCAAAACAAGTCAAGCATTCATATTTGATGCACCTGGAGGGATACTGGAGTGCCTGGTAACCTTTTCAAGACGTTGCTTTGCTCTGTGGCGCTCTTGCATACAGGTCTGTCATTACTACCTGAAGTACTGCTTATTTTTAGGTATTGAATGCATTGATGTAGAACTTATGGATAGATTAAGACGACAGCATTCATTATGTATGAAGAGCTGAAATCAGAAGCAATAAAGCACTTGGTCACTATGACTTTAATCAGCTCTATTAGGTCTAGTAGCTCATGTTAACAAATAGCAGTAATATAGATTCTTGTATATCTGGCAATAATGACCCCTGTTTGGCCGTGTTTAGGCATTTACTATTATCTCTCAACCTCACATAGCCGTTAACGAAGCTCTCTGGGTCTGAATTAAAACCCTTAACCTGCTTCCTCAGCTTTTAAAAAAAAACACCCAAATGCATTTTGATTTCAGTCGTGTGCAGGTATCAGTGTGGGAGGAACATGGAGTGCACTCTGCCCAACACCTGCACCTGCAAGGCGGGTTACACCGGATACAACTGCCACATCGGTGAGCGTGACAATAACAAGTTAAATCACTCATCATTGGCTAGTTTATCCTAGTCTCTGGTTTTGTTCATCTTCTCTTCTCTCCCAGCGGTGTGCCGGCCGGACTGTAAGAACCAGGGCAAGTGTGTGAAACCCGGTGTGTGTGAATGCCCTCCAGGCTACGGTGGGCCCACCTGCGAGGAAGGTAACCGCCGCTCGTATTCACAGCCGTCTGATCTGCCGACACGTTGCTCAGAGAGTCCTGGTGAGCGTGTTTGTGTTGTTTACCACTCTGTGTTGTGGTGCAGCGAGCTGTGAGCCGCCCTGCCAGCATGGAGGCACCTGTCTGGCCAGGAACCTGTGCACCTGCCCCTACGGCTACGTGGGACCGCGATGTGAAATCAGTGAGATGTTACTTAACTACTGAATATGTGACTAGAGTGAAGTTTTATCCATAAACCCCCCCAGGTGATTACATTCAGACCGATAGTTTTTGTATTAGACATGTTCCAATATGCAAATGAAGTGTTGTCTAATTAACGCTAGTGTAAAAATTTACATAAATTTATGGAGCAGAAATCTGAACATCAGATAAACGCAGGTTCAAAATTCCTTTTTTGTTGTTGTTATTGACTGTCAACAGTCCAAAAGAAATACATTTTTTCCATGTTTTTAGGAATAAAATGTCGTATAAATTCGGATATAAATCAGGCTGTGACTATCACGTAAAGATCTTAAGAGCATAGATGGGAATGAAATTGAAAAGTTTGGTGTATAGAACTTCTGCTGGAGTCGACGTTTGTGGCTCAGAGTGTAAAAACAATGAATTATTTCATTAGTGACCAAGCTGCAAGGAGGCTCAGTGATTAGCATCGTTGCCTCGCAGCTAGAAGGTCGCGGGTTGGCGTCCCGGTGAGGACACCCGGGATCTTTCTACGTGGAGTCTCCATGTTCTCCCCGTGGAGCGTGGGTTCTCTCCGGGTTCTCCGGCTTCCTCCCACAGTCCAGAAACATGCTGAGGTTAATTGGTGATTGTAAATTGTCCGTAGGTGTGAATGTGAGTGTGCTTGGTTGTCTGTCTCTAAGTGTAGCCCTGTGATAGACCGGTTACCTGTCCAGGTGAACCTGCCTTCACCCTGAGTCAGCTGGGATAGACTCCAGCCCCCCACCACCCTAGTGAGGATTAAGGTGTATAGATAGTGGATGGATGGAAATCCTGATCACTGATCCAGGGCTCTTAGATCATAAAGATCAGTCAGGATGTTGTTCAAGTCTGGTCTGCATCATGGTAAACGTCATCAGAGCAGCTTTAATCTAAGCATCCTTGGATTCGGTAGGGTTCTCTCCGGGTTCTCCGGCTTCCTCCCACAGTCCAGAAACATGTTGAGGTTAATTGGTGATTGTAAATTGTCCGTAGGTGTGAATGTGAGTGTGCTTGGTTGTCTGTCTCTAAGTGTGGCCCTGCGACAGACTGGCGACCTGTCCAGGGTGTCCCCTGCCTTCGCCCTAAGTCAGCTGGGTTAGGCTCCAGCCCCCCCGCGACCCTAATGAGGATTAAGCGGTGTATAGAAAATGGATGGATGGATGGATTCGGTAGACCAGGTTTCTGTGGTTTAATGTAGGATTGTTAATAATGTTCATTTATTTCTCTCAGTGGTGTGCAACAGACACTGTGAGAATGGAGGCGAGTGTGTTTCTCCTGACGTCTGCAGATGCAAACCTGGCTGGTATGGACCGACGTGTAACTCAGGTACAGAATAAACCGTCCACCAGGCATGTGTTCAGACTGTAGGCTGAGCAGCACAGAACTGGATGTGAGACTAGATTTTTTTTACACTTACGTATTGTTTGTGAAACAACAAAACATGCCGCTTTTTCTGAAATATGCATAAAGGTAAGCAGAACTTCTTGTGCCTCGTGTTCCAGCTCTGTGTAGCCCCGTCTGTCTGAATGGAGGAACATGTGTGAAGCCCAACGTCTGCGCCTGTCCCAGTGGCTTCTATGGCTCTCAGTGTCAAATCGGTAAGACGGCTTTTCCTGCTCTGTCCTGCCGTAGAAAGAAATTGTGTTTCAGGTGATTAGTTACTGACTGATTTCCATTTATTACAATGACAGTACTATTATATATTCTTTTACATTCAGTAGGAGGGAGGTCCCTTTATGTCTGAGCTGTTTGTCCTGTGTTTGTATTAAATGTGGGTCCTTTAAAATGCTGAAGAATGTCATGTGTGTGTGTGTGTGTCTCCCGAGGTCTTAACAATTGATCATGTTGTCGTTCCAGCTGTTTGCAGTCCTCCTTGTAAGAACGGAGGTCAGTGCATGAGAAACAACGTGTGCTCCTGCCCCGAAGGCTACACGGGGAAGAGGTGTCAGAAGAGTAAGTAGCGCCACAGGCTGGGTATTTAGAGCGCCATGTGAGGAGCGATGGCGCTGCACGGTCATGGACGTGGAGGGAGAATATGAAATGTGATGTGCAAACAAATATTTTCCAGGCGTGTGCGAGCCGATGTGCATGAACAGGGGCAAGTGTGTGGGACCCAACACGTGCTCCTGCGCGTCGGGATGGAGGGGGAAGAGGTGCAACATACGTGAGTGACGCAGCGCCTTGTTCATACACATAAAAACCCCGGCAGGTAGTAAAAACCATACAGTGGTAGCTGCACAAATAATCTGCATGTTTTAGGTTTAGACTCATACAATGGAAAGACATTCACTGCACTCCCCAATAATCTTTAAACCTCAGCATTTTCATTCTAATTTCCTCTGTTACCGTGTGTTCTTTAATGCATAGAAAAACATCAGGCCTTTTTATTTTTTGTATATTTATATAAAAATCACATTACTTTTGGTTCATGCAAAGCACTTCAATAGTCTTGAATCGCACTCTGTTTCAACGAGAAATGCATCAAATGGAGAAAGACTAGATGTGCTTTAGGCTAAAAAAAAACAAAAAACAAAAGCAGACTTTCTCTGCAGGCTGCTCAGAGATCATCTTTGATCGGGTAAGACGTAGGCCTGTGTACAGTCATTCTTATTTTCTGTATTCTGTAGGGGATATTCTGGATCAATTTCCTGATAAAAGGTCAGAAAAATAGTTCCCACAGGTCGAGGAGGTGTGTTCAGGTATCTTCAACCAACAGTCAGTTTGTACGTCCTCCATTCCTTTCCTCGCCTCCTCTTCCAGCAGTGCAGTCCCTCCTACCTGAGATGTGAGTGGAAGGAGGCAAGAAAAAGCTTATTGCAATTTTGTTTTTAACTTTAGAGCCGTTGTTTTAAAGAAAGCATGTGTTGTGGCACAGCTGCATCATGTGGTTGTAGTGTAGCCTAGCGCTGTCATCTGTGATCTCTGCCAGGTGAGTGCGTTCATTACAACTTGTGTATTTGCTTCAACTCACAATGTGGCAAAAACACACACACACAGATAAACCCCACGAATACAAAAGCAAGACTTCCACTTGCAGAGTTCTGCTCCTGCTGAGGTTTATATATACCAGCTGTGTGTCTGTGCATCTTCGCTCATGGCGTCCTACAGAAAGCCTCCTCGAGGTCCGCGTGAAGAATTGAAACGTCTTTCAAGATGGCGCGCTAAGATGGATTACCGTGTGACAGGCCTGAGGACGGAGGAGACGAGGAGGCACAACACAGAGACACGAAAAGCCCTAAAACATCCAGTCCTTCCATAATGAGCTGTAAAGTGATGATATTTATGCTCTTAATTGAGAGGGACAAGGTTCGCTTCCCTGTGCGAGCGCCATGCATCTTCTCAGTTATAACTGTTGGTTATCTTTTGAACTTGTTAGACCCAGTTCTTTTGTTGAAACAGCTCCAAGGAATAGTCGGAGAAAAGTTCAGGTCTCAGGTTAAACAGTTTATTCAGGTCACAGGTAAAGTTCTACAGCGCTGGATTCAGAGGAACAGAGAGTGCTCTCATGTCCAGCTGAACTGAGATTTTTCGGTTCCAGGTTACAGATATCTTCTTGGGCTGGGCCTGCCCCGAACATAGATAAGACTTGTGCGCTACCGAGTTTAATTGGCCAGTTACCAATCGCGTGGACAGGCATACTTCTTCTGCGCTCTGTCCACGTCCTTGACATTTAGTAAGCAACATGTGTGGATGTTGTTGGTACGGCGTGTAGCTAAAGTAGCAATCGTATCTAATAGAAAAGAAGAATTTCTGCTGTCTCCAAGTGTGCAAACCGGTTCTCACCGGACACATTATCTTCAAGGACATAAGCTCAGCACAAAATACAAACTCAGAATACATAATAACTTGAAACTTAATTAATTATAAGAACCATAGGAATCATGGAAAAATACAGACTGAGAACACATAATAGCTTGAATCATACTTAATTATAACAAACTTATTACGCTTGTAATCTTCAATATAGCCTTCCCCCCCTACAAGAGTCTACCCTTTGGCATTGCATCCATGTCGTGTTTTGTAGTGAAACACTGTGTTCATGCCTCCCTCGCTGCTTTCATTCTAGCTGTCTGTCTGCAAAAGTGTAAAAATGGCGGCGAGTGTGTGGGACCCAACACCTGCCACTGTCCCGTCGGCTGGGAGGGCCTGCAGTGTCAAACACGTGAGTCTGTCTGTTATTCCTTCTGTTTGTCGTTTGGACAAACAAAAGCACACGATACCGTTTTGAATTCTTCAGTCGCGTCTTATTTTCCCGTGTTGTTGTTTCTCATTTCTGACTGTGACTGACTGGAACGACAATCAGAAGCTGAATAGATAACATCATTTATGTCTGACTTCCTCCTCAGCGGTCTGCAGACAGCGCTGCCTGAACGGAGGGAGGTGTGTGCTGCCCGACTACTGCCACTGTCGGAGAGGATACAAGGGCCTCACCTGTGCGATAAAGGTGAGACGAGGGGCCACGGTTCGTATACAGTCCATGGGTCTGGGGAAAGGACGAAAGAGCGCTAATAACTAATAACTCCAGGGTTAAAGGTTGTGTTTCCTCTGAGGTTCTGCTGGCCTCATCATTACCGTTACAGTAGAGTCAAGCTTCATAAAATATATCAACATTTTTAGTCCTGATGGCTGGAAACACCTTCAGAACATTTGACCGCCTTGTTAGGTTATTTTCCCTCTAACGTTGCAGGATATTTATCTGCCAGAAAAACAGATGCTCCGCTCTTTGACTTGAATGTAACTCTAATAACTCAGAAGCACTGAGACTCCCCATAGCTCCTTTTGCACCAGGGGTCTCAAACTCGACTTACCCAGGGCGCCGCTGGAGGTAGCGTCTGGGTGAGGCTGGGCCGCAGCAAGTATTCCCCCAATGAAGGGTTTCAAGTGTTCCAGGAAAAAGTACAGCTGATCCAATCTTCTCAATCTTTATTTATAACAATTCAGAACATGAACGGTTCTTCAGAACATGGGCTCCTCTTACCTGGTCCGACCTCACTGCTTCCTCTGACACAGCTGAGCCACATCTGGCTTGAGGGAAAAAGCAACTGAGACCCTCGGTGTGGCTTGAAGATGCTCATCAGTAAGTTTGGACCTGAACTTTGACTTATTAAAGTTCATGGTGGAGAAGAGCTTTTCACACAGATGGAATAAAACAAACAAAACATGCATTTGCATGGGTGACAGGATGTATGTTCCCTCCACTCAGTGACTCTCCTGAATCACGTTTCAAGTGGCTAACGTTGCTAATTCGTGTTGCTGTCATGAGCCTGAGCTATGGTAGCCCACAAGTGATAAAAACATATAAAAACGTCCAGAACAACGACTCGTGCAGAAAAACTCGCGGGCCGCACTAACATCAAACTTTGATGTAGAGTAGGAGGCCACAAAATATCCTCCGACGGGCCTCAATTGGCCCCCGGGCCACGAGTTTGAGACCCCTGTACAGATGTCGTGCGATTATTAGAAATCAAGGCTGTGAAAATGAAAACCTTGATGTCAAAACTCAGAAGAACCCAAACACCAAGACACACATCACTGAATCGCCTTCATCTGTGATTCACACGTCATTTAAAAAGAACTTCTCAGCATTTATCCTTCTACGGAAGCCGAGAGCGGTCATGGCCGCACATTGTTTTAAACGCCGTTTTCTCTGCGTTCGTTTTCTCGAGATAACGAGATAATTATCGCGTTGACAGTTTCGGCTGTCACTTCAGCCTTCATCAGAAGTTGTCGGACTTCCTGGTGTGACGTATCTTATATAGACAGCTGTCCGGGAACTCCGACATGACGTGTCATGAGAACAGCTGACCGGGCAACTTCCAATGAAGCGCTCGTGCCCGGCCTCGTCTGTCCTCCGGCCCCCCGCTGGTGACTGAGGATGGAATCCCAGGTGTGTGGGACCCCCCACACACCTGGGATTCCATCCTGGACCGGGCATGAGCGGGCAAACACGAACAGCAATTATCTCGTTTTCACGAGAAAATGATTCTTGTTATCCCGAGATAACGAGAAAATGAACTCGTTATCTCGAGAAAACGGCGAAGAAAGAACAGTAGCGGAAAACGACCGCTCTCTGCTTCCGTAGTCCTTCAGTGCTGACAGGATGTTACTTGTGACGTAATCCTCCACTGATGTTTTCAAGAGAAACCTCAAGATCTGCATATGAAGAGTTAATTTGCAAAAACAGATAACGCCACCTTCACAAACCTTCACTATTCCATCGTCTACCTGAGACGACATCAATCAAACTTCAGTTCTCTCTGTTGTTGTCATTTCTACTGAGTCACATCCACTCAGCTTCAGTCTGACTGATATCATCTCAAGCAAACAACAAAAAATAATTCTCTGAAAATCCTTATTCATTGACTATTGCTTGCTCTTAATATCTCAAGATTTTTATTTATTTTTTTAACAAATGGATCTCGTGTTCCTGTTTTGTCTGATTTAGTTTTTTTGTTGTTGTTCTATTTCATTCAAAATTTTGATTTTACTAATTTCATCCTGGCTTGATGTTCTGCACATAATTTTGTTGCTGCTTGTCTGAAAACACATACGGCTCTCTGATGGACTCAGGTTGTTTTAGCCTTACTGTGTAAACACATCTGATTTGGTTTGAATCAGATGGAGCTGTGAGTAGGACGCTGCTCAGAGCCAAAGTAATATATTTATAACACATCTAATCCATCGGGAGTCATTAGTGGCTGATGATTGGTCGACCGCTGGTTCAGCTAATTATGTCTTGTAGCGCGCCAGCATTCCTACATCGGAGGCGTGACGTGAAACACAACAGTGTCGGCGTCCAGTGGGGTGTGTGTGTTGCCATGCCGACTCATGATCCCAGAATGCACTGCAAGTCTGATGTCACTGAATTCATATCTGCACTTCACAGGCGTCCCAAGCATGACGGAGGCCGCAACGAGAAACGGGACGAAAGAGGCCACGAAATGCACAAAGCGAGGAGAGAGCGCACCGGAAGTCGTCGCGTACACGAGTGTGTGCGTGTTGTTGCCTGAATGTGTGGCTCTGTGCACATCTGGCTGCTAACGGAGGGACTCGATGTGTTTGCACTTGTGTTTCCGTCCCCGTACGTCACTACCTCAAGGCTCAGAGCAGCGCACATCTGTTAGAGGCATCTTCATACAGATGTGTGTTGCGTGTTGTGAAAAAAAAAGACAAGTTAGTCATGATTCATTCAGTGTGTAGGTTATTACAGGCAAGCTTTTAGTTTTATTACAACTTATCCAGATTTATAGCTGATTTAACCAACCGACATGCACTGTCTGTTTCTTATCTTGAATCTGCTTTAGTTGGGACACATCAGACTGAAGACGTTGATTTATGTTGCAGGTTAACAACAACAGCATTTGTATATTTTCCCTTTTTTTTGGCTCCTTTAATATATTGTTCCATCAGGCCTGTTGGTGCCTGTTGTTCATTTACACTGATACCAAATATAGATCCAACTAATGATCATCTGTGGGTTTGTTTTCTAAATAAAAATACAGCAGATTACACTGTGGTACGAATTACACGAGAGAAAATAAAGACGATGTACTGATTCTTTGCTTTTTTCTTCTTGGTTAAATGATGCATGCAGCTCAGGGTTTTTTATTTTATTTTATTTTATTTTATTCGATGGCACAAATTACAGTCCAGTCTGTAGCATGTTTATACAGTCACATAAAAAAAAAAGAATTACATAGAAAATGTTTGTTTTTTTAAATGTAAAAACTACCTTCAGCTACAAAAACGTAATCATCCAAACAACCGTCGCCTCCGGTGCGTCGCGCTAGTGGGACTTTTTCCTCTCCTCGCAGTGAGGTCCGGAGAAAGGCGGGCGACAGCGGCATTTGTTGGGGGAGATGCACTTCCCTCCGTTCAGGCAGGGCTGAGTGCACACAGCTACAGCCGAGACAAGGACAAGACAAAAGAAACGCACGGAGAGGTGTTAATCTCTGTAAAACTGGGAAAGTGAAAGCGACTGAAAAGACTGTAAATCCAGCAGTTAGCCACAGAGGTGAGAAGTGCTGCGTCACATCTGGAAATACGCTGTTCTGTTCTCACCAACATACGGATCATTTCTGTCCGTGTGGCACTCAGATATCAGGAACATTACTTTTATTGTAAGTCGGATGCAGACTGGCGCTGAGGGGACGTGTAACCATGACCCAGCCTCATGCTTGTAAAGTGCATTAATGCTTGAACGGTTTGAACTCACCGGTATGGCAGGCACCACCCAGCCATCCCTCCGGACAGCTGCAGATTCCTGGGGCCACACAGATCCCCCCGTTCCGGCAGCCTTGTGGGCAAAGCGCTGCAACGGAGAACAAACCGTAGAGAAAGATTCTCAGCATGCCAGGAGTCAGACGGCGGCTGTAACTGAGCTGCACTGGAGGCATTTGCCTTCCTGTCTGAAGTTAAAAACGGTCCATAGCTCAGCGCTTTGGTGGAAATGGTTAGTTTGGCTCTGCCCAGTGGTGACAACACCCGCCCACCTACCACCTCTCAAGCTCACAAAATATTTCTTGTGTTTATTCCGAAACCAGAATTGTAAAAATACTTCCTGTACGTCGCACATGTAATTCAACAGACGCTCGGCCAAAGTGACTTTACAAATCCTACGTTTAAATATTAACGTCAAGGCCTTAAAATATTTTATATTGTGCAATGTACCTAAGTAAACTAAATATTAACATTAAGTGCCAATTTTTTCCCCCTCAGCTTTCCTTTTCCCCCTTGTTTTCAGTCTTTATGCTAAGCTAACTGGCTGCTAATAGGAGTTGTATCACCATCATACTCTTCCATCTACTGCACTGTTGATCTTATTGTGATCGTTTGTGAGGGATAGAGGTGGTTTCAGGTGGATTTTGTTCCATTTGGACAGATCCAGGCTGGCAGCTAACCCCATGTTTACAGCCCGTATGCTAAGCTAAGCTAAGCTAAGCTAAGCAGCTTCTGCCTATGTAGACATGAGAGAGTAGAAGTCTTCTCATGTCACGCTATGTCAGACTCTCTGACTCTTGCTGGTTAGAAATGTTTTTTGGAAGTTGACTAAAAGGTGGATTAACCGCTCAGTCAGACTTGTTGTTCGGAGGTAAACTGAATGTCGCCTCCCATCAGCAGCTTTGACCAGGAAAAAAAACAACCTTAAAGACGTCTACTAATGTCTGATGAGCGGCTCCAGCTGAGAGTCCAGCTCCATTTGGTGTCTTTGACCTTTGGTGTTAATTGGGGGTAACCGGATACGGCCGTAAACGAACCCTCTTGGCATTTTGATCCGGTCCAGCTCGAGGGGCAGATGCACTTGGCCACTCCGTTGACAGCGGTGCATTCTCCTCCGTTCCAGCATCCCCCATCACAAGTCACTGTGAACAGACAGAGCACGGCGGTGAGCAGGGACTCACCTGTCGGCACAGGTTTCACCGACACACCTCAGGAACGCTTCAATACGCACCAAGAGAATAACGTTAGGCTTCAGCTTTAACTGTTCACTTGAGTAACGACATCATTTTGTCTTTCCTCTCACACTGGATTCTGCTGTGTGAACACGGCTCTGTTAAACCACCCAGCCACTAAATGCCCCGCCGCTGAACGTCCACGCCAACATACCTGAATGCAGACAGTTTTAGGAGTCTTCCAGGATTTACTAGTTCACGGCGACTCGCTCCAAATAAACCTGCTCACCTTTGTGACAGTATCGTCCTCCGTATCCACGAGGGCATCTGCATTTTCCAGGGCGGAGGCACATTCCTCCATTCTTACATTTGGGATAACAGTTGGCTGCAGGAACACACATGATTTAGTCATTATTGTTGATGTTCTGGTTCCGAGCGTTGGCCCATCTGTCGTCCAAATCTGAGGCATTTTAAATGATAAGATGTTCATTTATGACTGTGTGAACTGACATGCTGACTATTTGTACACTGCATTCAATCAAACACAGTATATTCTTCTTTATATTTGTATATTTGACCTTAAACTTTTGCTCTTCTGTGCGGTGAATACACAAAATACTGAACTGACTCTTTGCAGTCAAACTAAAAGCAGACAAAAGCTCCGGTACATCACCGTATTTGCACGTCTCTCCCTCGTAGCCCTTGGAGCAGAAGCATGTGTTGTTGCGGATGCAGATCCCGGCGTGTTCGCACGGCGGCTCGCACTTCGCTTTGGGGTCAAACACGAAGCCCATCGCGACTCCCCGGGGCGCGTCCGAGCCTCCGTAGCAGACGCCGGCGAGGGCGACCAAGGAGGCGAGAAGGAAGAGCGCCGAAGAAACAAAGCCCATCGCTTTGGTGTTTATTTCCTGGAGAGTAGAAGGTGAGGAGCGGTGGACGGAGATGGAGAAAGTCTCCCACAAAGTCCTGACGGCTTCTCCGCGTCGGCCCCGCTGCTGCTGCTTGAGCCGGTGTGGAGCCGGGGGGCAGCCGACGGGGCGGGGCGGGGAGAGGCTCCGGGTGTGGGGGCTGGAGGTTTCGGCTGGATGGTGAGTAGTGACAGAGATCACAGAAGCACGTACATGTTGGAGGAAACTTAGAATTAATGCAGTAATAATTCGAAAAAATTTTTTTCTCAAAGCAGTTTTAGTAAATGTAGCTTTCTAGCTAGTTTGCTAACAGCGTAAACATTAGCTTTGCTAGCTAACTAGCCGTTAGCTAACTAGCCGTTAGCTAGCAAGCGAACATTTTTTGCATTTTTCAATCCAAAATATGTTCCTGTACAAAATATTACGTGGTTGGCTAGCGCATTTTGGCAAAGGGAAACTACAAATACCAATGAGGGTGGACAACATGGGCTTCAAAGGCATTTGTGTAGCTAACGTTGGGCTAATGCTAGCTCAGTGTGGTTTGTGCTAAACAGGAAGTGGCCTCCCTGAACGGAGGGAGGGATTGTGTGGTTGCAATTTTTTCCAATTTTGTGGCTCAGTCAGCACAAACCCAGTTAATATTTATAATTCTTGGTGGAGACCTGAAAGTTTTCAAAAATGCCAAATGACAGGCGAAAGGAAAGGAATGGAGCAGCAGTAAAAACATGGAGTCCTGGCTTTAAATGGCTTTAATGAAGAACTGCAGCACATTGAGACCATATTGCTATTATTTATACCGGTATTGCAATATGAGTCACGGTTTTGGTGCAGTTTTTCATTTATTTTGCACTGGTAAGGTACAAAAAATAATCAGCAATTTCCCGTATGTCAGGGGAACATGATTTGTAGGATGAGGCATCTCCTGGTTTGTTCATAATGGTATCATGTGACACGTTTTATCTTCATCAAAACATGGCAGCTCCTCCAATTTCAATCATATTCAGATTATTGTTCAGCACTAATATATACAGTCGTGACTCGATAATCCGACCCTTAACAATCCTAAACCTGCTATCCGACAGGTTTTTAGGAAAAACCAACAGAACCCATAAAAACAGCCTTAACATAGCGACAGCCTTGGATTCTGACTCCGACATGACATTTAATGTCACCAATCAGGATGACGGCGTATTATCTGACTGAACAATCCCACAGATTGGCTACGTTCACACTGCAGGACTTGATGCTCAATGAGGAATTCTTTGTGACTTCCTTCACGTTTCCAGTTCAATGCGACTTGTATGTGATCTGCTGTGTGAACTTCATACGAGCCAAAAGTGTCCCGCATGCGCAGAAGAGGACACGACGACGTCACACGCAGCGAGCGTGCTCAGTGTTTATGGAAGTAAACATGGATGGTAACGGTGGAGCGTATCTGCCACTCCCCCGCCGCCACCGATGGAGGAAACAGAAGTGTGAGCGCTAACTAAACTAGCATCAGCAGCCAAGTACTGCCTGTGTGTTCTGGACACTTCCACCCCGTCAGAGCGCTGCCCCGGGGTGGAAGTGGCCGGACCGTGCACAATCGCACCGTCAGTTAGGCTGAAGTCCAGTGATGCGTAGTGTTCTAACAACACACTAGTTATTATAACAACTATGAACAATAATTAACAACTAATGATCCTTCCAGCATCAAGCCCTCCTTGTATCTGGACCTCCGTCTTGACAATCCGACAGCCTTGCTATCCGACATAAAAGAAGGTTTTACATTTAGTGTCGGATTATCGAGTCACGACTGTAGTCTATGATGTCGTCAAACACAGTGGGGTTCAGTCATCTTAAACCTACATGAGGCATGAAAAAAAGAAAACTGTTCTTAAACATGTAGTTAGACTCAGACTATACTGACATACAGATGTGCAGCTAAAATAAAGTCACACTAAACCATGAATATTAACCCATTATATACAGGAAGAGTGACATTTACACAGAGTAGGAGTAGAATCTGACTGTGTCCTGGTATGTTTGATGGAGGTCCAGTACAAAATATAAGAAAACAGACATTTCTTAGTTACTGCTGTTAAAAGAAGTCCAGTTGTCCAAATAGACAAATTTAATAGAACAAAACGCTTTATTGTCATCAAACATGGTGCATGATGAATAATCACACTATCCGAATTTTGACAACAAGATAGTTGTGATTATTAAGCTGAGGTTTGAGAAATCCATCAACTAATTACAAAAACCATTAACAGAGAACTTGTCCTGCTTTCCCTGCATAGGCCACACACCTCACAACCCCACTGATAGTAACAGGAACAGGAAAAAAACCTTGCATATCATGTTTTAAACAAAAGAAAAAATCACTTCTGTTGTGTTGAAATGACGTCAGGACTTTCAGAGATAACTCAAAATGAGTTGAAATGAAAAATGTGAGACAGGCAGTTTTCTAGTTCAGTTTAAACGACCCTTAACTCATCAACCCTCGACCCGTGTTGTTCGTTCATTATCGTAGCCGCTGAAGGGAAACTGACAGGCAGTAAAAGGTTTGGTCTGTGGCCACCTTGCTTCTACTCGTCAGCAAGATGTTTTGTAAGATGCGAGCTCTTGTGGAGCACATGTGGAAAATCCATTTCCTTGTGCCTGGTAAAAAGAAACGCTGGGCCTATATGAAGTATGGGCTGAGTGGAGGCTCTGCTGTAATGACAATAACACAACCAAACCCATAGCGGATGTGGCCGTCCTCTCAACCGGGCCTCCTGAAGCTAAACCCGTCGAATGGGAGCTGAAGGGAAGTAGATTTCCATATGATTTTGTTCTTTTTCTCACAAATGAACTTGTGCAGCTGCTCTTTCTGTGTGAAATGCCGGGAGACTGGCTGCTTATCTGCCGTTCCCTGCAATGGCGGTTCATTCAGAGTTCAGTGTGCCGTTTACCGGTTTGCATAATGCTCCGACGGATCACTCTGAAGTGGCAGATTACATTTCCATAAAGATTTCATGAGCAAAATGTGTAATCGCTTGGCTGCTACTCGTTGCAGCCACCGTGTCTGATCTGAGAGTCATTCCTTGGACCGACCACAGCAACAAACAGAGATTCTGGAGCGACTGTGTTGTACATGTCTGAGTGAAGTCCCGGCAGAGGGACTCTCTTTTCAGACGGTTTGGACTTTGCAACGTCAGTTTAGATCCAACCAAGTGGAGGACTTTGGACAGAAGCAGTATAATGTTGTTATATGTTTGTGCAGTGATAACACGCTACGATTTATGGATGAATTATGTTGAGTTATTGATTAATAACTGCTGGCTTTATTCCATCTGTATCAGCAGTGTCAGACTTACGGCCTGCGGGCCAAAACCGGGTCGCCAGGGGGTTCAGTCCGGCCCGCAGGATGAATTTTGACAGTAAAAAAATGCATAAAAGACGCAAAGTAGAAATTTGTAATAAAATGCTATTCCTAAATTATCCACCAGAGGGCGCACCGTGTTAGTCAGAGTAGAAGACTGAGGGCGAGCAGCAGATGGTTGTTACGGTGGGGTCGACCCTACACCCTCATTAACCAGCATGTCTTCGTCAAAAAGGAGAAAAGTGGACACAGAGTGAAGAGTTGTCCAAGACAGATGGACCACGTCCTGTTTATTCACAGAGACGAAGACCTGCTGCTTGGTGCGTGTTAAACAAGTTTCTGCGCTCAAGGAATATAAGATGTGGCGCCACTATGAGACTCATCATGGCGAAACATACGACAGCTCGCAAGGACAACTGAGCAGACAGAAGATGAATGAATTGCTGGTGGGTCTGAGGAAACACCTGGAGCTGAGAGGCCAGTGAAGCGGCGCTAAAAGCCACCTAGCTGATTGCTAATGACATAGCATTAGCATCAAAGCTGTATTCCGACGGCGAGTTTGTTAAAACGTGCATGGTGAAGGCTGCAAAACTCGCGTGTCCCGAGAAGCGACCAGCGGTATGAAAAGAACTGATTTAGTCGGTAAAGACATTCAGCGAGTCAAGGGGCAGCCCTGGTGGAGTCCAACACCCACTGGGAACGTGTCCGACTTATTGCCGAGAGTGCGGACACAGCTCGCTCCAAAGTGCAATCTCAAACAGCTTCATCAAAACAATTAATGCCCTAAATCCTAACTTCATTTGGAGGAACAAGCCACCCTATATTAAAAAAGATCAACTGGTTAAAGATATAAAAGACGGGGGCTTGAC